ATGAAAGCATCTTCGTGAGACTGCGAAATGGGTAAGTTGCTCTGAATAAGCTGTATCATTCGTTCTACTTCAAAAACTTCGCTTCTACTTCCTAACGGACACAAGCATGGAAGAATAACAACAGTAGCTATCAGCCACGGCGGCTGCATGGCCCAATTCATCTCCGTAGACGTGCAGAAATCTAGGTGTCAATGCAAAAACATCCGATGTTAGCAGCAGAGTTTCATCTGTCGGAACCATGACACTAGGGTTCTTGGTGGTTTCTTCCAGAAAAAAATATATATCTCTATCTCACAATTCCATATGCACAGAATAAATTCTACAGGTGTTTATGGGCCCTCCTGAGCACGATTATTATTATCAACAGTACAAATATTATCCTCCTGCTAAACCTGAGTTCTACCAAATGGGCCCCTTAAATGAGCAAACTGTTGGCGGCAACAAAACGTTACATCAAGTGAGTAGACCGATATGCACCTTGAGTGGGTGAGAGTTTTGAATTTGAGTAGGGTCACCCAACCCCTCCAATCTGGCTGGGATCATCTTGGTCAATCCAAACTTGGAACTTGTGTTTTTATTGACCCTGATCGTTCTTGCCCAGGGATTTTCTCGGTGTGAAGATCATTTCCAGCAACGGCTGCGTTTCATTTGGATGCAGAGACAGGTCATTGTTTTTGGGAATGTGGTTAAGACCTTCGCCTTTCAGAGTCTGGATGCTGCACCTTCTCAAGAGGGTCACCAGGATCGCCTTCATCATGACCATCGCGATGAACTTCCCAACGCAGCCGCGGGGGCCAAAGCCAAAGGGCTGAAAGTAACGATAGGGGACCTGCGTAAAACAATATTTTGGTTCATTAACCATTTATTCGCTTCCTCTTTAGGCCACTCAGTTTGCATATAGGAGCTGGGCAGGTGATAGGCGTCAAAATGTAACATTGGTAGTCCTCAAGTTATGACTGCAATTGGGACCAAAATTTCCATTGCTAAGCACAGTAGTTGTTAAATGAATCATGCCCAATTTTACAACCTGGTCCTACAGATTTGTTTTTTCGTGGGGGAGGGAGTGCCACCCCATTTGGTGGGATCAGTGGAGAAGGCAGAGAACAAGACACAGGTAGTCTTCGACTTAGTGACCGTTTAAAGCTACAACGGCACTGTGAAAAGTGATTTATGACCGTTTTTCACAGTTACAACCTTTGCAGGAACCCCCCTGGCCAGGTGATCAAAATTCAGACGCTTGGTAACTGGTTCATACTTATGACGATTGCTGTGTCCCAAAGTCACGTGATCCCCTTTTGCAACCTTCTGACAAGCAAAGTCTATGGGGGAAGCCCGATTCACTTCACAACGGTATTACTGACTTCACAACTGTAGTGATTCACTTAACGACGGTAGCAAGAAAGGTTGTAAAATGGGGCAAAAGTGACTTAACAAATGTCTCACTTAGCAACAGAAATGTTGGGCTCCATTGTGGTCGTAAGTCAAGGACCACCTGTAGCGTCTGGACAAAGAGCCGCTGTGTCTTGCGTCCGAGTGATTACTCACAACGTGTTTGCATGGAGTCGTATTCCCTAAACAAAACACGAAGCCCTATTTAGAGCAAAAGACAATACTTACACTCTTTTCAAAATTGTCAAGGGAGAATTCATTGGGCTTCGGGAAGAATTCCAGCTTATGCATGCGCCCGATGTTCAGGATAATGTTGGTCCCTTTCTTCACGGGATAGCCATCGATCACATCGTCCTGCAAGGCTTTGCGCATGACCAAGTCCACCACGGGCTGGTATCTCATGCTCTCCAAGATGAAGTTCTCGACGACTTTGAGCTTCGGCATGTCGTCCGTTTGGACGTCCCTGTCACCTGTGAGAAAGAAACAGGACACAACAGATGAGATCCGTTTGCTGATTTTTTTTCCCTAAAGGAATGGTTGGAACATATTGGCATGGTTTAGTGTTTATTTTATCAAGGACACTCCCACCAGCATTGACAGGACAAGCCATTAGTATATAAACAGATAACAAATTCCACTCCCTTCTAGTAGCGATGATGTTATTTAGTTGGTTAATGAAATGTCTGCAAGAAAACCACCAAGCCCAGAGAACATCACGGACCCCACAGTCCTCCTCCTTCTCCTTCTCCTTCTCCTTCTCCTTCTCCTTCTCCTTCTCCTTCTCCTCCTTCTCCTTCTCCTTCTCCTTCTCCTCCTTCCTCTTCCCCTCCTCCTCCTCTCTGCAAGCCCCCCTCCTTTATGAGCACTGATGATGTTGTCTGGTTGGGTAATGAAATGTCTGCAAGAAAACCACCAAGCCCAGATAACATCACGGACCCCAC